AGAGAAACCAATTGAAGACTCGGGTTTCCTGGTGTAACTTGGATAAAAAGTAAGTTCGTCATGACTTCTTGATTCCAAACGTAGCAAGAAGTTCCACCGTCATCCTTCCTCGATGCATATTCATAGAAACCGCGAGAGTCCACTCAGTATAGCCGATAGGACGGATCATCAAGACCGTAGAATTGCAAACATTTAAGGGAACAAAAATGAACTCAAAGAGCCGCCAGTTGTGGTTTTTAGGAAGAAGACTGATACAATATAGTAAAAGGACTTAAAATAACGTTTAAGTGTATAAATACATGGACACGGGAGAGTATCAACAAATTTTCAGCGGCATACTTATAAAAAAGTGTGGTCTAGAGGAAAAATAGGCAAAAAAAACAAGCATCGGATTCATCCGTAAAACTCAAGCCTTCTTCTTCCCGGTAAATTCAGAGCAACGTGGATAAATTCTCGCAGACTACTGCCTTTTAAAAAGCAACAAGACTCATCCAACTGGGAAAAGTTAGATTCCATGGATGAGACGCAAGTACTCTTTGTGCTAGTGAAGACACACCAGAAGAATATCGTCGAAAATGATAAAAAAATAAATGATCCCTAAAAGTGTTGACTGAGTACACTTTCTTCGCGTAAATGCAAGGGTGAAGAATTAATTACGTTAGACACGTTCTGATTTAATATACGATAGGAAAACAACAGGAATAAGGGGATGAATTCTTAGGGTTTTTGTGCTTTAAAAGGGCCCCGAACAAGTTGTCTGAACATGAAGAAGGGCTAACAATCGTATGCAGTGAGAAGTGTAAACATACAACAGGAATAACGGCTGAACGCAAGGAATGCACTACACCAGATTAAATGGGACGTGAGGAAAACTAAGTCTCAAGGTTAGCAGAAATTGCAACTGTTAGGACAAAATATTGCCCAAGAAGAAACTGCTTACGGCGGCATAAAGTCGGACCGGCACTTTCGGAAGCTGCTGTTACTAGATAACGGAGACAGAGGAGAACGCAGGGGGGTTGTCGGGCTGTAAGGGGCCTGGGCAGATCGCGTGTTTAGTTGTCCTCCGGGAGAGCGGTCGAAGGGCGATACATCCTCGACGTCCCGTTGGATTTTAAAGACCGAACAGGATCGTGCCTGTTTAAGGTACTTTTGAGGACTTGGGCAGTAGTTGTCGGAGGGGACTGGTGGACTGAGTTGGGGACGTTTCCTACAGATTAACAGATATAAAAAAACAACTATTTACAACATTAAAGTAGACACAGTGAACCAATTTACGTGAGAAACGAAGTCATCTGGATAAATCACCTTTCAGAAGCAACAGTTCAGATTATTCGGCAGTAAGAGTTTAGCATAAGTCCTGCCTGAGGTTTCAAACTTAAGATGGAGTAAAATAGAAGGTCCAAAACGTGCTAAGTTGAACCTACCGTGCGCTAGATGCCGAGATTATTTTGGTGGTGGGGGAGGCGACAATCTCGGCAACGGCGACTCTTGCCGGCGTTGTCTTCCGAAGGAACTCAGCCTCTCCTAGGAACATGGCAGCCTCATCGAAGACCTGAGGCGATATTGGGACTTCAGACTTAGAGGACGAAAGGCGTGAAGGGGTGGGGCGTCTAACTGAACGCCCAAACGTTAGCAACCCACTGCTGGTGCTGCCAAAGTTACTGGTCATCTGAGGCGTCGAGGGAGCTGGTGCATTGAAGGCGGCTACAAATGGACTGGTGGCAAGCGATTTCCGCTGTGTCGGTGTGTCTGCATCCAACATCGAAGAGAAAACGTTCTTCGGAGGTGTGGAGAGATAGAAGGAAGCGGAGTTCTTAGAAGGGCTCTTTGGTGTTGTCTGTGGCTCTATAAAATGCAGAGATATACAGTAGCCGTCGAAGACCATGCAACGGTAATTATGAAATTTGGCTAG